CAAGATGTTTTGAAGGAAAATTGAGTATATGTTGCATTTATTAGATTTTGGAAGAAAGCCACTGATTATTTAAAAAAATGTTGGTCAATTGAACACCATTTTCTATACGCAAGCAAGTAAAACCACACATGCACAGAAGAGATCTCCTGAAAACACACAACAAGGTTTACTTTTTCTTTTCTTTCGTTCTTTGGCCCCATCTGCATTACTGAGAATCATCCATGCCTCAGCACTCACTCTGAGTTCACTTGCACCAGCAGCGGGGGCACATGTAAGACGTACGTTGCTGAATTTGGCAAACTGGAGTGACTCATCCACCCAGTGGTTGTGTAACAGGCAGAGCCGGCAGGGGAAATGAGCGGCTGTGTAAAGAAGGGCTGGACTTGGTTGTTCTTAAAGACTCTGCAACTCTTCATCATTATGCAAATCAAACCTTCATGTTTCTTTGTTTGCCGTTAAAGATAAAAAAATGAAATTGTGAAACCATTCCCAAAAGCTATATCAAGTAAAATAAGTCTCGGCTAGCCTTAGCTAAAGCTTAAATTGAATGTACTAAATTAAGTAAAATAAGTCTCCTTAGCTGAAACTTAATGTACTAAATAAAAAATATCTATTTTGATGATTAACATCCAGCTAATTCAGTTCAACACTCTTAACCAATCCACATCACTCAACAACCAGGCATGATGAGGAAAAAACCCAGTTTAACACATGCTAAAGCTAACTAGCTTAGCATATTTCAGCATCTTGTGGAATTCATCCAATAGGAACATTCTGTGTATCTTGGCTAGCTGTTATATAACATATATAAATGTATTAATCGTAAATACATGTTTTAGTTCATTTCAAATGTATGATATTTGAACTTTCTATTGTTATACCTTCCAAACTTATCTGCTAATCTAGTGACTTCCCTCTCTGTAGAGTATTCCCACTGAAACCTCATGCCAGAGACGTTTTCTTAATCATTAAAGAATTCCTTTGAAATGTATTAAAAAAAAGCCCAACCCAACTCGTATTCCCAAGCCAAGATAATTATCTCACACCCACACACAAAACACACTCTCACTGCCGCACATAACGTGCAGACAATGACTGTGTAAGGTGAGTGATGTCAATGAAAGAAAAATGTGTGACGCCCGTCTTGTGAAAATATGTGTGCGTATACCTCTGAGCGCATGTGTTGGTCTGAAAGCGAGACAGAGGCGGGGGAGGGGCTGTGTGTTACCAAACGACCAAAAGACAAAGTGAGAGAGAAATGGTGTTGGAAAAAGACAGACGAGTGAGAGAAACGGGAGCGAAATGTAGAGTGAGAGAGAGGAGACGTGAGGAAGGCCGGCGGTGACTTGGGGGTGGTTAATGATTTTCGCCAGAAGGTCACAGACGTGTTGACATGGTCGGGTGGAGGACGTATCGACGCGTCAGTGTCAACCACTGACAAATCAGTCATGCCCTCCTAAAATGAAGGAAAAAATCTTTCACATTGATCAATAGTAGGACATGCTTGCAAAAAAACTGACACGCACAGGACGTCAGTGAAACTAATATCGATACTCAAGGTTTTGCACTAAAACAACATGCAATATGAGACCTAACCATCAAATATTAACAGCTAATTTAATGTTGGATTTTTTTTTGCATTTGGTATCATATTTCTTCTACTGTTGTTTGTGATTGTGTCACAGGCAACACATGGCATGGGCCGTTATTCTGCGATGTCAAGAGATCACGCAGCTTAGGCAAGCAACAAGGTCGTGATGATATGCGTCACACAGCATCATCTGTCCAGTGCTATCGAATCAATAAGTGAAATCAGCAGCCATTTATTCACCACCTCCAGTGATTTCAAAATGATTTATTTAATCCTCTGACTTGCAGATGTCTCTTGCATGCTACAGTATTTCTCTTTGCTAGAATCAGGAGGCACTCCAGTACAAGTAACACTATAGTAGGAGTATCATGATGATCCAATGTGTGACTGTTGATGTGTGATGCTGTCCCCAGCTAAACCCTTTGGTTGCTTTTAGTTCCCAGCTAGCCTCTGACAGCTCTTGTGAGTTTCTGATGTGTGTAAGTAAACAGGAGTGACCTCCAGAATATCTTCACAAGAGAGCACCCCCCCCCCCCCCCCCCCCCCCCCCCCCCCCCCCCCCCCCCCCATCCCCCCCCCCCTTAACTGGCTTCACCTCCACCGAGGACCCAGGACATTGCAGGATCATCAGTATATAATATGCAATGTCATATTGACTCTTAATGTTGTTTGAACTGCAGTTTTGTGCACAGCCACCTCACTGTGTGCTTCTGAAATGTGAGCCGCCTGGGGTCAAAGGTCACAGCGGAGCAAGCTCTGACGAGAGGCTGTGAAGACGCTGCGGCATGCAGCTCTCTGTTCTGCGTTTAACCACGGTGGCCACTCTGTTGCAGGTAAATTCCGAGAGAAGGCATCCATCCTTCATAAGATCGCTAAAAAGAAATGCCAAGTGGAGGACAGTGAGAAGGCCAACGGAGTGGCCAGTCGCTCTGGTAAGATGCTTTAACATATTCCTGGGATATTGAAGTTATAATTTGTAACATTTCTGCTTTACAATGTTGTTTAAAATGTCCTATAATTTCCAAAATAACAACTGAAGGATACCAAATGTGAGTTTCTATGCTAAGTTAATGGACCAAACAATCACATTTTTTAATGGATTTTTTTTCAATTTCGTTTGAGATCTTTGAGACAAGGAGTGAGTAATTGATTGTTTGTTGTGTAGTGTTGATATTGTCTTTAGTGGTAGTAAAGGCGAGTTGTAAGTCGCTTTGGATAAAAGCGTCAGCCAAATGCAATGTAATGTAATATGTAATGTAGTAGTAGTAGTGTATAGGAGCATAGCATTGGCTTAAGTCTCTTACTGTTGATCAGCTTCCTCACTTTAGATAGGGGAGTGTCTACTGTAGCTGGGCTGAATCAGTCCTTCTTTCAGACATTCATTTTTTATTTTGACTTTTATTATTTTCGGGGTAATCCTGGGTAGGGATTTAGTCCCTGTTGGGGGCAGGCGTTTCAGGGTTTCGGCCGCTGACGTGTGCCTTTTTTTAAAGTCGCCTCGAGCCCGGGCACGCTCCAGAGATAGTTAGGTAAGTTTGTGGTAGCAGGATCTGGGGAAGCTTGTTATTTGAAAGAGTCAATGCTTGTGTAGCATCTGGCATCAGATATATTTGCCTGTTGTTGAGTGAGGCTGGGCTGCATGTGTGCAGCATGTGTGGTGTGGTGTCTCTATATCTGTGTGAGGCCTGCTAGTAACCTGTGTTTTGTTGATTATTAGGAGATGTGCTCCAGTGTATCTTTGTGTATTGTTTTACTTTAGTCACTTTCTTTTATAAGAAAGTTGTTTGCAGTTTACCTTAATTTTACTTTGCAAATTGGCTGGTGAGCCCTCTTTACTTTTGCTATTCGACATCACCTTGTTGGCTTCAGCAATCAGTTTTCCCCTATTTTTCTCTCGCCCGGTTATTTTATATGTTGTTACTTCCCCTAGTCCAGGAGGGAACGGAACAAACATTATATTATTTTTCGTAAATATAATTATATATATTTTGTTTTGCTTCTTATATTTATGACTATTTACAGGGTTTTTTTTTGCGAGCTTCAGCTATTTCAAAACTGTTGTACTTGCATAATCAGAGTTGACAATAGTCAAGAATCTTAAATATTATATTTCCAAAAAATATATTCCTAATATTATTCATCAGGATTGCCCACTGAAACAGTTAATGAGCTTCACGGCCGATGTTAAACAAGCATGACATTATCAAGAACTGCCAAATTGATTGCAAGTGTTGTCTTCAAGCTGTATTTAAATCAATCACAGTCACTGCCAATTTATGTGTTTTTCACTTCAAAGAGCGTTGGACCAAAGGATAAACAGGCGTCCAGAGGAAGCTCTTTGAAGGCCACAGTGTAGTCAGAGAGGCAGAATCAAAGCCAGGCATACATGCTCATCAACAGGCTAAATTATGCTAACAGCGCCACATTAACATATTAGCATTTTAATCAAAAGCATGACTGTATCATCCACAGCATACTTTACTTTTCAGGTCTAGAAAGGTATACTGTCAGGGTTATGGTTTTTATATCCCATCTTTATTTATAACCTTTCAGTCACATTATCTATCGGAGAATCCTCTTCTAAATGTGTCACATCCACACTTTCATTAAAAGCTATTTAGACTGTTATTATGCTTTTATCATGTGATTAAATGGATTTCGGCTCTCTGTATTTTAATAATAGCTGTTAAATAAGCATGGCCTATAATGAAATTGAGTCATATTATTATTGTTATTTTGTAAATTTGAACCTCAGCTCCTTTAATAAGTCTATAATACACTTTTTAGCCAAAACATAAACTCAAAATGTAATTTTTAATCCCACAACCCCAAAAAAGAATCCCCCATAGCAATTAGCAAATTCTTTTTTCAGGATTATGTGAACAAACTGGCTTTTATATTTCAAATATATATATTACATTATTATTTGGTAGTGATGGTCAGGTTGGTGGAAATATCAATGCAGTAGAAGTTGAAAATAAAAATAGATTTTGTAGCTATTATTTTTGTTCTTTTGGCATCATAGCTGGTGTTGTCTCACACCTCTTTATCCTCTACACAAGGTCTCCAATCTTTTTTAGGATGAGAGCTACTTTCAAAAAATAAAACAAGTCATGGCTACTTTTATTCCTTTTTTGTTTTTTGTTTTTTGCAGTGTATATATTTAGCACATTTTAACATTATTATATGCTTACCTTTAACCTTTGTGTGCTGTTTGGGTCTGTGGGACTCGTTTTCAGTGTTTTGTATGCAATTAAATTATTTTAACCTGCTTTATTTGGGGGTGGACCTCACATCCTCTAGGGGGGTCCGGGGGCATGCACCCCCGGGAAGATTTTTTTTTTTTTTTAAATGTTGAAGTGAAATGCATCAATCTGGATCACTTTGAAAGCAAAAGGAATTGATGGATACAGCTCTCAACACTCAGATGAAAGGGAGCAGTATACTTTTCAATAATCCAAACATCTTTAGAATATGATCACAACCAATAACAAATAATGTAAACGTATTTATTCTTATCTTATGTTACCTAGTTAGCATTCTTTCTTTTTATTTATGCATATTTTATCACTCCCCTTTTAAACTTTTTTTTTGACTGTCCTATAGTACACATTGGAATGATTTCTTACTTTTATGTTTTACAACTACACGCTCCTGCTGTGTTCGGGTCAAATCTGACCGATTTACTACTTTCATCAATCATAACTTTTTTGTTTTACATTCGATTGCATTAAGGCTTTATGAAATCCTTCACAGTAGACATTTGAACATATACAGTTGCTGATCACCACTTTCATTGCATTTTGGATGATTTTGTCAACTTTGTAACACCCATGGTGTTCCAGGTCAAAAATGACCGCCATAAAGAAAAGGAATTGGTAACCATCCGGATCAGATAAAACACCCACATACAAACACACACATACACTAGATGTGTTTTCCCCCCCTTATGTGCCCATCCCCCCATGGGAATTACACCTGGCACACACAAACATACACACACAGAACAATTTGATACATTTCCCGCTCTTATGTGCCCCCACGAGCTACTCGCGATCGACGTGTGGGAGATCCCTGCTCTACACGCTCCTCACTTACACAATTATCTCTCATATCTCCCACAGATAAAAACCTCCCCAACAGCTCCAGTGTGGAAGTGGAAGTGACGCCACCCATGAACGGCACTGCAGTTCAAGAAGGTCAAGAAACGGTAAGAAATCACATGAAAAAAGTCAAGTGTTTTGAAAAGAAATTCCATATTTTCCCCCAAAATATCTCCTATCAAACTAACCAGCTCGGGATATGAGAAGGCAGCAAAAGTAAGAGGCACAGATCAAAGTTAGAGGGATATTTATGGATATGTTATGCCCTCCATCCATTCCACCTTGATTGAGATGGATGCATTGAATACGGCACAGGTCACCACTGCTGATAATTTCCCAGCATGCCCTCGGAACGAGATCCTCCATCTTCAGCCAGACCTGCCAAACACTCGCCTCCTTCCACTGAGTTCTTTAATCACACTCCTCACTCACCTGCTGCTCCCTGCCGCTGGGTGTTCACACACACACACACACACACACACACACACACACACACACACACACACACACACACACACATAACGGCACCTACAGGAGTGGTGCTGGCGGTGAGCGAGGATGGTGGGACGCAGCGACCCACTGGGCCAGCAGACGGTCCCGAGGAGAAAGGGGCAGCGATTCAAAGTGGCACACTGAGAGGAGAGGGGGCGGAGGATTCTTTCATTGACTAACTGAATCATGCTGCCATTCACCGCGTGAAAAGTTGTATTTTCAACCAAAAATATCTGTTTTCTGAAAAATTGCAAACTTTTTTATTATTATTATGTATTTATTTCAACATGGACCATGCATAAAAATACATTCATCTCAGAAAAGAGAAGAGATGAATTATGCCAGAATTTAGCTAATAGCTCATTTCCATCTGCAGTCCTTAGATAGATACATAACATAATTATAAAACATGATTTAAGTAGCCTACAGGTCAATAAAATAATACATAGTACTGTTAAAATATAATATTACAATACAGTTCAAATTGAAAAACTCAGATGTAATTAATGTTGGCATGGTTGCTTAATAATATTTTTGATTTGCTGTTCGCTACCATTGTTACATTCCCCCTCGGAAATGTTCCATTTGTCTGAGGGAGCGAGTCAACAAAGGTGGTCACTCCAGTTGTGTATCACCCACAATGCATTGCAGTTATACACACTATACACTCGCAGAAAATAACAGCCAGGAATGGTGCACTCTCTACTGACCATGCAGACTATTATATAGATAGGTAACCAATGAATGCATTTGATGGCAATAGCAGGGCAAATAAATAGTATCAAGAGTTAACTTTGCATTGAAATCCCAAGGTTTATAACTTTAAACGAGCCATTGTTTTTAGTTAAATGTTTCCGTTTAGGTGGATTTTAATCTTGCACAACCCTTTGAATCAAAGCCCAGTCTTTGAAGCATTTTGCCTTACAGCACACAGATAATAAATGTATACTGTACGCACTTTGTATTTATAGACCGCTGTATGCCCCCCCCTGAGTACGGCTGCATGTCTGCTGCTGAGGGAGCATTAAGGACGCTCTCAGAATAGACTGCAGGAGAAAATGCTGAAGAGGAGCCCTAAGTCGCAACATGACCGCGTGTGTATCGATCTACTGCAGCAAGGCCGCATTGATCTCCCACTCTTTCCATAATCATAGTCTTTAAAGATAAAACTGTCATCACTGCGTTGAAGCTGAAAATATGTGTGCCTATAATAAGGAACATGATAGACTATATTCTTCAGGTGAAGGCAGAAAAGCACATGTATGGTAAAGAATATTCCAGGTGGTGATTCAGAGGATTGGGAAGATCTCATTGGCATAATTCCCAGATGTTTCTATATTTAGAGGTGTGTCCCACAGTGTACCTGTGTGTGTGTCAGTCAGGAAGTAGCTGGAGGCATCTCACACCTTCACATGCCGCCTGAGGCCCGTCATGCTAATTGTTCAATTCCTCCTGGATGCCTTGGCAACCAAGATTGGGGAATAAGGTCAAACTAAAAGCAGCAGCTGACGTTAAAAGCTTTGAGAGCTGTGCTGACAGAAACGCACTGCAATATTTTCCAAATTAAATGGGCATTTTTCATAAAAGTAACAAATATGTTCATCTCATAGTCAGGCTAGGATTCGCAGCAAATTGTCTTTCTGTAAAACATATACGACAGGATTTTCTACTTTCAGCACACATTTTGAATAATGTATGAGAGCGTAAAGCTCCCGTAATCGGGTCTTTAAATAACATTCTGAGAAGATCGCAACCAACAGGAATTTGTGACTCATCCGAGCTCCTCTCTGAACTAAAACGATTTCAGTAAAAACACACACTGTGTATATCATGTAGGCATTATGTGTTTCGGGGAGGAAGTAACATCATGAATATCTAATTGCTTTGCTAAATAATATGATATTTCATATCAATATGGAGCCTCTGTGTCATGAAAAAGCACATTTCCGACTACTCAAAGATCTAAAGAGTTGGCAATGACTTTTTATTTTATTGACTAATCAATTAGTTGATTAGTCGTCACAGCGCTTGGCAGGTTAGTTGGAAAAAACACATTTAATCAAAATATTTATGTTGTGATTTGCTCACACTTTTCATGTCGATTTCAACTCTTGTAGCTTTGTTTCTACTTAGCACACGCATGCCTCCAGGTTAAAAAGAAAAATAGCAAATGTCACGCCTCCCTCGCAGCTCTGGTAAAAGTCAGTGCCTTTAAGCTCGGAGTTGGCGGTGTTGCCAACTGAGGCCCCGCGGGGCAGGAAGGCCCCCGAGGAGCTGGCATTTGGGAAGCAAGTCAGAGAGGGAGCAGCAGCACCTCTATGGGGCTCTTCAGCAGGGAGAGCAGAAATAGACAGATGACAGACTCACAGTGTGCAGCATCGGCCTGAAACGCTCACCTGCATGCTGTCAACATATCCATCAAAGAGCTGTGGGCAAAGAGCAAAATCCTGCATCACTTCCTGCTAGATCACATGACCAAGTCTAGCTTCCAAACACTGCAGTCAGCCCTGATAAAACCTCTTAGATCTCCACGTGTATGATAAGCAATGGATTTATTGCTTCAGGCTTTTGGTTTTAGGCCTTTTAACATATAACAATGCAGCCATCTGGATATGGAGAGGTGGGAATCAGAATTAGAGCATAAGTGATGCAAGCTTTGCCTTTTGTTTGGCGGCTCTGATTACCAAGGTTACCGTGAAATACCCAGCAGCGGTGGCTGTCACAGCAGGATAGGCTCCGTGTGATTCACGATTCGTTCAGTAGCCATATTTAAAGATTTCTGCCTTCCTCTCTGCTCCGATAATGTGATTGACAATTATTGTTTACTGAGCGAACATCTGTTATCAGCATCGCTCTGTGTGGTGTGTGTTTTTAATGTATTATTTTTACACCTTGGCTAACTCTCAAAAGGGCAAGAGACACATTTGAGGTCATCAGTGGATCTACATGTGTGGACCTGTTCTCCGCAGGTCCCCGTGGCTCCTTACCATCCTGTATAATTGGATACAAAGGGACCCAAGTCATGTTCCCACTCTCAGAAGGCTTTGTTGTTTTAAAGCACCAGATTGATTAGTAGAGAGTGATTTTGCTGCTGTGGACACAACCAGAGATGGCAAAAGCACACACATCCTTTACTCAAGTGAAAGTACAGATACTCGTGTAAAAAATACTCTGGTAAAAGTACTGACTATACTTCTTTACTCAATTAAAGTAAAGAAGTATGGGCTTTGAAATGTACTTAAGTAAAAAGTACCCATAACTAGCAGCTGTTTTAAAGAGTACCTGACCTCCCTTTATATTAATAGAACAATAATGTCATTGTTAGCTAATGAATGTTTCCATGCTGAACAACAGCAAAATGTCAAAGTTCTCATTGGTCCCTCTTCTTTAGAGAAGACCAGGAAATGATGGATACACGGATCGTGTTCAAATCATTAGGTACGCAATGACTCTAAATAATAATGATCACGCCACCAAACACACATTCAAACTAAAGTAACGAGACTGTTTTGAAAATGTAAGAAGTAGAAAGTTCAGGTGTTAAAAATGTAAGAAGTAAAAGTAAAAAGTTGTCAGAAAAATAAGTAGTGGAGTAAAGTACTGATACCAGAAAAATGCACTTAAGTACAGCAACAAAGTATTTGTACTCCACTACTTCCCACCTCTGGACACAACAGATAATGCTTTAAAAAAAAGGAGTCTCTGGACCGTTTCTGTGAGGCTGATCTGCAGCGAGGTGACAGTCTTTGGCTTACTTGGCATTCCAGTGGCAGGTCCAATCAGGGTGTGCTGCCGCAGCCAGCCTCAGCACTGATGGGGGGGGGGGGGGGGGGGGTTGTAGCCCTCAGGCTCGCTGCAATCTCCCCAATCACTCTCCTCACACTCGTCTGTCTAAGGTCACCGCTGAGCAAAAAGCACATGCACTTCCAGTTCCTGCCTTCCATTTTCTGCAGGCCTCCTGAATGCTTGTGTTGCACTACCCACCCCTCCAGATAGTTGCTATGGAGAGGTGTGTCCCAATGAGACATGTTACCCTAAAGGAGACACTTTTTCCGACATCGCTATAGGAACATGCAAAAAGCCTGACTCAGCTAAAGGTAAGGTGAATGAAACACCAAGTGATTACACTGTATCATCGTCTCCACTCATTAATAAATATCAAAAATGGTTAGAATCACCACTAAATAAAGCTTGAAGGCTAAAATGGCATCATTTTTTCAAACTCTGGAGTTATTTAACAAAGTTGACATCAATAATATTCAGATAAATATCCAGGTATTTACATTTCTTAAAAATGTCACTTTATTAGATCCACTTTTAAGTCAGTCCTTCAGAAGGCAGGTCAAATGTTTATTGTAATTGTTGTATTGGTTAGTTTCTTGTTTGCACATTGTATTTTTTTCATTCTTTTTGATATAAAAAATGGGTTGCTTCGTGTCCTTTTGAAAGTATATAACATATAGGCCTCATTTTAGGTTCCCTTTAAGGTTTCTTTATTCCAGATGTGCATTTCCTCATGTGATTTCATGATTCCTCTCTATTTTTATTTAGATATATGCACAATAATAATACATTTAATTGATATAGCGCATTTTTCGAGTTATGACATGGGGGGTTCCAAGGGAAAAACCAGTTTGAAGAGGTGGGTTTTGAGGGCTTGTTTGAAGGATGATAGGGGGGTTGATTGTCTGATGTGTATAGGGAGGGCGTTCGGAGCTTAGTCCTGGTGGTCTTTAGGCTGCTTGCATCTCCGGACATGAGGCAGCGGGTGGGGATGGGACAGTGGACGAGGTCAGAGAGATAGGGAGGGGCCACGTTGTTCAGGGCTTTGAAGGTGGTGGGTGATATTTTGAAGTCGATTCTGTATTTGACTGGGAGCCAGTGGGGGTTGTGGAAGACTTATTGCAGGTTGTTGGGGATTTTGTTTGGTAAACTGTAGAGTGTGCTATTGCAGTAGTCGAGTCTGGAAGTGATGAGGGCATGGATGAGGGTTTCAGCAGCAGTAAAAGAGAGGGAGGGTCAGAGGCAGGCAATGTTCTTGAGCTGGAAAAAAGCAGTTTTGGTGATGTGGATGCACAAGTAAACAACAACACGATTATTGTCATACCAGCCTGCATTGTCGATTACGTTTAGCCGAAAAGTAAAAGTTGGGACCGCCTTTTTTTTTTAATTGACATAACTTAAAGTGGACCTATCATGCTATATTTGAATAATATATTGTAGGGCCATACCTATATAAGGTATATTTATACGTTTTTTTTTCAAAATACCAAACAGATCATGCATTTTAGCCATGCCTCATTTCGCTCTATTTTGCTCTCCTCCACCCTGTCTTTGCATGCGCTGCAGCTGACCACGCCCCCTGCAAAGGAGGGGGCCGAGTTACGAGTTACCATGCCACGACAACCTCTCATTCCCCTGATAGGTGGAGAGTTGGCCATATAGGCAGAGCTCCTCGTCACTGACGTCAGACTATTTTCAAATCTATCAGTCTGTATCAGATCCGTTGCACCCACGTTTTTAGAGATTTGGGTATGGAGGAAAAGAGAGAGGGTTGTGTTTTCTGACACTTGGTGAGTTCCCTGACACACCGGGGACACATATTCATGTATAAAAGACGTACAAAGGTGCATTTTGCATGATAGGTCCCCTTTAACCATCATTATTTTAATCCAAACCATGATCTTTATGTAAACCCATCAAGTACCTTTGTTGCGTGTTTGTTAGCAACAGCCTGTTTAAAACTGTAATTCTCTGGGTTTTAACAACCAACCCTGATGAATGTTTTATAACCTCTCCTCTATTGTTTGTGTTCTGCTCTCAGGCTGAGGACGAGGAGGAGGACGACCAGCCTCTGAGCCTGTCCTGGCCCGACTCCTGCCACAAGCGCATCACGTACCTCCTCATCATTCCCATCGTCCTCCCACTGTGGTTAACGCTGCCCGACGTCAGGAAGCCGGTGTGTGAGACAGTCTATCCTCACATTGAAAACAGGAATCCTCAGTGTGAGATGGAGAAGTGTTGAACTCGTTTTGTGTTTCTTCTCTTTCAGACTGCCAAAAGATTCTTTCCCATCTCCTTCATCGGTGCCATCTGCTGGATTGCAGCATTCTCCTACTTAATGGTGTGGTGGGCTCACCAGGTACATACTGTCCCAAAGACAGACTCACTCCCCCTGTACATGACGAATTGGGTGTAGCGTGATCACGACAGAACATTGTAAAATCCTAACATAATCCTTTTCAAAAAAACAAAGTCGTCTCGTTTCCCCATCCTTGACATTTCAAACAAAACCATATTGTCTAATCCTCCCACTCACACATAATTATTCAAAACAGAGAGCTTTTTTATCACCTCCATCAGCTCTCAAGCATCACAAGGAAATTAAAAATAGCTAGAACAAAAGATAGGTTTTTATTTACCCCAAAGCTTAGTTTTATTTTATTTTTTCCTTTTTTTGTTTTGTTTGCAGGTTGGAGAGACCATCGGGATTACGGAGGAGATTATGGGCCTGACTATATTAGCAGCTGGAACGTCCATCCCTGACCTCATTACCAGTGTCATCGTGGCACGCAAGGGGCTGGGGGATATGGCTGTCTCCAGCTCCGTCGGCTCCAACATCTTCGACATTACAGTAGGGTACGCACAGGACCTCTTACATGATTACATTTTTCTTTATATGAATATGTTATTTTCTCCTTACCATTGTTGGCCTGTACCTTTTTATTTTTATAAGGATTAGGTGGGGGAAGATAACTTCAGTGCAAGCAAATGGCGATTACCCATGTAATTAGGCTGTATTGTGCTTTATTTATATTTCCCACAGTATATAATTGCGATGTAACAACGGTGTAAGTGGCAGGTACAGGCAAAACCCTTTAATGCACAACATTAGGTCCTTTATTTATTTATATATTTATTATATGTCTGTAATTAATGTTGTGTTTTATATATATTTTAAGTGTGTTGGTTTGATAATGTTTTTATGAATTTTTACTCTGTAAAGTGTCTTTGAGTTTCTAGAAAAGCGCTCTATAAATAAAATGCATTATTATTATTTATTAACTGAAGCAAGGTGAGAAATAAAAGTATGGGCAGGTGCTGCTAAATTGCTCTTTGATTAGCTTTTGTCTAAATTATTGTCAAATTAGACTTTTGTCTAAATTGTTGTCATTTTAGAATCATATTATCTGTGTGTGAGAATTCTCATAACAGAAAAAGAAATCTAGATTCAAAATAATTGAAGTTGTGACATTCATAATTGTACATACTGTTGTCTTCTTAACCTAGTAATTGTTTACAACATGAAGCTTTATTGAACGTGTTTTTTTAATCGCAGACTGCCGTTCCCCTGGCTCTTGTGGTCCTTTATCAACAACATGTCTCCGGTGAAAGTCAGCTCCAACGGCCTCTTCTGCGCCATTGTGCTCCTCTTCATCATGCTCCTCTTCGTCATCATCTCCATCGCCGCCTGTAAGTGGCGCATGAGCAAGATGCTGGGCTTCATCATGTTCATGCTGTACTTCGTCTTCCTGGTGCTCAGCGTCATGCTGGAGGACAAGGTCCTCACCTGTCCCGTGTCCATCTGAAGAGCTACTTCCTGTCCCTCGTCACCGCCACAACCACCACCGACACCACCACCTTCCATGTCTGCCATCGCCCCCCCCCCACGACCCGTGTGATACTTTACTCCAGGAATAAAATAAGAAGAAGGACGACAGGACAAGAAAAATAATACAAAACATTTTCAAAAAGAGCAGGTGGTGGTGGGGGCGGGGTTGAAAATGGCACAAGACTTTGGCTTGGCTGGTTTAGCATAGTGGATTTTTATTTTGTATTATTATTTAATTGGCAGGTGGGGGGGGGGGCGAGTTATGGGTCTATCAGCCAAATATAGAAGCATTATATGCATGCCATTAGTGTCACTAGACGAGCTGAAATCAAGGCCACGCCTGGTAGGTTGAGGAGAATGACCTCCTGTGAACTTTGGGGAGGCGGGGGGGCGCTGTATTAAACTCTTAATAATAAATGCAGTAGCTGAGCTGACATTGTGAGCACATTTGACCACACACAAAAGACGCTGATACCAGGAGTGGAGAGGAGTTTGAGGAGACGGCAGCCTGTGAGGTCAAACGTGGCGTTGAGCTAAAAGACTCGAAAAGGAGGAAGCACTCTCACTGGGCAGACAAACGTTCTTATTTTTGCAATTTCATCATGCGCCCAGTCTGCTTTGAAGCTTCCCTCACCCCTGCTGGACGTCATTCTTCACCACTGAATGTCTCTTCAGAGGATTCTTCTTCTTTCTTTTTTTGGATTCATTTTCATGAAATATATAGAAGTAGCACTAGATGTACTGTAGCAGTATTAGGTAAAGTAGAGCCATCTTGACAATCTGCTCCTCTTTTTGTTCTTTTGCCACTGAACACACGTTCTGATTGTGCAGTACTTTCCATGCTTCACACGCACCGACTTACAAAAGAAAAAAATTAAATTGAAGTTTTAGCCTCCCAAAATATATGCTAGCCTTCAATATCTTTCACTGGTTGAAAAAAAAAAGGCATGAGTAATTTAGGATCATTAAAGCTCCGTAATGAAGTCAATGTCAAAATAATACATTTGAAAAAAAAATGAACAGTGTTTAAGCGTCATGGTTGATTTAGATTAGTCAATGTGTAGTGCTTTGTTCACAGTAGAACTGGGCTCAACTCACCGGCTAGTCACGCTCCTGCGCTCGTAGTTAAAGGAGTCAACTGCATGTTAAAATAGACACTTGGAGGTGAATTATACCAATCAACATTTAAGAAGATGTATACCAAAATGTATACTTTTTCAGACATGTTCATAACTTCTTAATGCAATCCAGTGCTCAGTCTCTATGTAGAAAGTGTCAACATGTATGGTCAATGATATCTATCAAACTTGTGCAATTTATTTTCTAATCCAAGGTGCTTTTGTGTGCATGTGTGCAAACTGCATTTAAAGTCATCACACAATGACCATTCCTTATATTTATCTATGACTAGAGGTTATACTACCAGTATTTTGCGACTAACTGCAAAGAAAAAGAAATACACCAAACTGTGTTTTATACTGGAAATAGAAATCATAATCACTCCTTAAGCTACATAGACTGTGGAAATCACAAATGTAACAGCAATATTGTGTGTGTGTGTGTGTGTGTGTGTGTGTGTGTGTGTGTGTGTGTGTGTGTGTGTGTGTGTGTGTGTGTGTGTGTGTGTGTGTGTGTGTGTGTGTGGAGAATCATCCTCCCCCTCCCTTAGTGTCTGTCCTTCCTGTCTGACGTGGGCAACATTTCTCTGACCCCCATCCTATAGAGCTGGTCAGAAACACCCTCTTTACCTCAACACAGCCTCTGTACAGCAGTGTAATGACTGTAACATAATAGTAAATAGATTCTCTGAATGTGTGAGGGGAAATGCATGCGAGGAATTTGGGCTGGTTACCCACTGACTGTACAGCTGAGCTTAGACCAACGATATAATGTTCACTTTTATGCATCCATTCATTAAGAAACACCAAGAACACATTGGTTTTACTTTGTAAATATACACAGAACCACACATGTAGTTTATTTATTTTCTTCTCTTTTTTTGACATAGTGAGTGGAGAAGGACAATGATAAGGCCCTTAGTATTATTGAGCAACATCTCATTAGCATACTTTACACTGTAAACTGTTCAGGTTCAGGTTAGAGAACAACATCTACACAACAGTAGGTATTTGTGATGTTTTCTGACAAAGATTGCAAATGGTAAAAGTAAGCTATGATCTCTGTCAACTCATATGTTAAACTGTTACGTGTGCATGCTCTCGTATCTCCATTTCCACAGCCCAGACCCTAAGAAACAAAATGGCCTCTATGATGATTTATGAAATTCTTCTGCATACGTTAAGGACGTTAAAACGTTAATGTGTTCACACCTCAGCTTGAGTTTTTACTCAAGGGTTCAATTTTGGGGGGAAAAGCACTTCTTTTGCTTTCTCGCAGAGCGCTAAATGATAAGATGGATGCCTTTTTTCATGTCAGTGCGATAAATCTACTGATCTAGAAGCAACGCCCAAAGGTAACAAAATCCACCTACAAAGCACATCTAAAGCTAAAAAACAAAGTGTAAGAACAAGAAGTTTTACATTTGGTCATGCGCAGGCCAAGCTCTTTCCCCGTGTTTCGACTCTTTGTGCTAAGCTAAGCTAACAGTAATATAGTATAAAGCTATATGAGTATTTCCTAAAAGTGTTTTGCTTTAATAGGTCAAAAGATAATTTGCTATCACTAAACTCACATGTGCATACTCTACTTGTGCACTTTTATTGCAAATATATGTTTTCCCCCACGTTTTCATGTGAGAGCTTGACGAGAGGAAAACCAAAGGAAGAACTGAAGGTGGTTTAGCATGTGAAATTGGCATTGATTGTGGTTTACGAGGGTAAGCGACGCTGAACCACTTACAAACATTCTTGCACTGTAAATGTTTTATTTTCTTGGTGTTAATGTAAGATTTATTTAAGGTGTACATATATACAGATACAAATTAACCATATAATCTATATGTGTAAAAGAAATATGTCTCTTTATGTAAAAACACAAAGTATATAATAAAACAAATAAAGATGAAATTCAAATATGCAACAATGTGTTTGCGGGTTTTACTTTACTGACAAACAGTCTCACTCTTGCTTTCAAATGTTGCTCTGTGGCCACTTGCAGGGTTGGCAAAGAGCAATTATTCCCATAAAACACCAAGGTAAAAAACATAACCGTAAAATGATTCATAGGACATGTCATACTCCAAACAAGGGCAATAATGACTCATTCTAGTATGACTTGTTGACCTATGCAAGCAGATAGGACTGAATGCTTTATCTTCATAATCAGGTATTTTAAATATAAATATCTGCCAACACTACAGGATAAAAGTCAAGATATTTCATCCTCTATAATGCATTTTTTGTTAACCTGTGTCTACTAAGCCCCCCAAAGTGTAAAACTAAATATATGAACTACCCTTGCTTCCTGCAGATGTCAAATAAATACAAAAAAACCCACTTTAGTTCATTTCTCATGTGTCATTCCTGCATATGTAAAGACTGGTTGTGGAAAATGGCGCCCTCCTGTGGTCAAACCCGGAGTCTTCACTGTAATTTGTGACGCAATCATCATTTTTTGTATACAATCCTTAGTCCACCCACATAAATTGTCCTCCAGCAGTTTGTATTGCTTCTACTGAATGAAATCACTTTATGTTGCCTTGGAATTTAGTCACCTAGTTTTCCACGAATTTCGTTGGATATCATATTTACCTGGAAATAGACACAACATGAGTCAGCGTATGTCTCTTTGTTCACCATAGTTTCCCATGGTGCACTTTAAATGTCAAGCTGTTTTTGTTTTTCAGAATGATCTTGATGGATCAGTGTTGTGTGATAAAGTGTATGGTGTATACAAACAAATATGTACCCCCATGTTCATGTCCCACGCATGATTGAAAAAATAAGTACACCAACATGGAGCCTAGCATGGCACAAGTAAAAGCACTTTGGGTCATTGTGCCATTGGGTTACCATCATCAAGACACATTACTTGGTTAAATATAAATTGTTCTGAAAAGAGGGCCAATTATTTGACATGCAAAGACAAACATTAGGATGACACTACATAGGGTTTACATATCTAAACTTGATAAGACCTGCATGACATTACTCAAGGAAAGGTTAACGAAACTTTGCTGGTGTAAGCATGCCAACACGTTTTTTTCTAGCAATGATTCCCAGGGAGACGCAAAAATGCCATGCCGTTTCCTGCTAATTCAAGAAATGTCTCTGACGGTATTTTTTTAGGTGTGTTTCCTGAAACTTGAATCACTAGTTCCTGTCTGCAGACTCTTGTAAGGAGATAACAAAATAGGATAATGATACGACGGAATGTGTCTACAGATCTAAAGTGGATTAAACAGTTATTGTCCTCCTCAACACCCGCAGGACAGAGCTCTGGAACTTAACTTCATGAAGTTCAAACCACCAGGATTGTGTAAGTGAATATTTTTTTATAATCTGAAACTGTATGTTGGCTCCTGCAAGCTTTGGACCCTGGGAATATAGGGATGACCCCACTCAAACATACCATTCTGCTGAAACAAAGCATTCATCATTGGCTATAACTTAGCGTATACCTCTAATGGTAAATAGCTGCCTTTGAATCCTTGTTTTAAAGAATTGGGATTAACCTATTACTATTACTATTCTTTCCTCAGAAGTGTTTAAGGTGTTCTGACGGTAATCCCCCTCACTGCTTCCCTGTACCTTTTTTCTGGAAACGTGTTCAGCATCATCAGCTAAAAAAATAATAAAAACCACGGTGATGATTGAGGCGAATACTCACTGAGGTCGTTCACAATGTGCCGAACACTATACCAACTTCCAGTTTCACAACGTCTCAGAAAGGAGCCGTTTCAATCACTGTTAGTGATGCATTTGGTTTCAAGATCTTGGATACCAACCTCTTTTTTCTGGACATGGGACTTAAGTTGAATGAGTTATGTGAATAATAATAATAATAATACCAATATACTGTATAATAATAAGCTTTATTTGTGTGACACCTTTTATACAATAATTGCAGTTCAAAGTGCTTCACAGTAGACCGTTTTACTTTTTAATTCACTTCAAAGTTGAGAGCATATTGGAAATTATTCAATGAGCATCAACAATGATTTAATTGAATTCTTTTTTTAATGTTTTGTTTTGCATTGCTATTTATTCATTTAAACTATACTTTCTCCCAGAATAAAATAAATACATTAGTGTGTCCCTCAGCAAGTTGTAACCTACTGACTGTACTTATCAACTCAATATTTTGAATTCAAATATTGTACACTTTATGTCTTAGTTTATTTTCTTAATGTACAAAAGCATTTCACTGTGGATTCATGGTGTATGAAATAGCAGGGGGGCTTCTAAATCTGGCAGAGCTGGTATTATTGCTGCTGGATTTGGTACCCCCCCCCCCCTCTGTAATTTTGGCCAGGATGGTCATAATCTCACCAAAATCCCACAGGTGTTAGTTATTCCCCTCTAGTTTAAACAAAAAATAACATTTACTCTGGGTTTATCAGATGAAAATGTAATGTAAAAATATATAAATCTGGACGAGCTGTAAGACACTCTTGTTTGCTTACTTAGTGCACTTCATGTCAGGATGATGTTTATAATATTTATAATATCCATAACCTAATACAGCTCTACTACTGTACATGCACACATAGGATATATTACCATAGCAAGTGGGAAGCAAAAATAATTTCTTAATTCAGGAGTGATCATGCAGTCTGATTCATTAAGTTGACTTTTAGCCATTACGTTTATTTGAATGTGTGAGTCAATGGCAGTTACTTTCCTTCGTCCAGCTATCATTTTATGACAGACCAGCTCACTTTCTAAGTCCTTTGCCAGTAGATAATGAACTCCACATGCTTCTGAGGGCAAGGTTAGTAGCACCGAGGGCGAGTCGGCTCACTTTGGGCCAGACTTTGCTCTGTGACTTCATCCGCGCGCTGTCACAAGGTGTGCTTGCATTTGACAAAAATGCATTTGACAGAAAACGTCTCAGAGGAGGCTGCAGGCCAAATCCTGCACACTCACTTCATCCTGTAAACTGAGGCAGACTGAGAGTGAGCTTTCAGAATATCTCAGACACAGCAGGCGAGTCATCACCAGAAGTTCCCTGTCCGGCTGTTTTCATGTGGAGAGTAACTGTCGTGACTCTCTCCTCAGTGACCTTGTGGTGAGTCAGGAGAGGGTCAGTTTTGATCTGAAACTGAACGGCTGCACATGTGGCTCCGTGATTTAGCTGGAGAATCATCTGAAACAGGGTTTTAGAATGACGGAATAGCCTCATGCATAGAAATGTCGAAAAGAAGACAAATAAATTCAAAGTCATTCTTCAAACACACCATCCCCCCTTTTGCTGTTTTGTGTCTCTTTGCAGGCATCACCTTCTGATTGTGTGTCTTTTTGTTATTTCTTCGGTCCTTTTGCTGCAGTTTTTTCTCTTTTTCTGGTCATTTTGCGTCACTTACTGGTCGTTCAATGTGTCTTTGCAGCTGTTTTTGTAGTTGTGAGTGTTTTTGTGTCTCTTTGTGATCATTTTCTCTCTCTTTGTAGCCTCTTAGAGTCCCTTTTTTCTTTGTACGTCTCTTAACAGAAGCAACATTACATTTTTTTATCCTTCACTTAACGTCAATTTACTGTGTGTTTCTATTTCAAAGGGCCCATCTCTGAAGTGCAAACCAGCTTAGTTTATAAATGCTATTTTGCAACGGTCCATGTTGTATACCTGGCCCTTTAAATGTGAAGATAACATATAAGTAATACATGTCTTAATGTTAATATGGATAAAAGGCATTCATATACAGGTTTAATCAGCACAACGTATTACTGAAACAAACAGGATTTGAACCTGTTCACAAAAAGAATTCTTCCAGAAACTCGGTTATTTCCTGTCTTTGTAGTGATTTCATTGTGCCTTAAATCATGACTATTTTGAATCTTGAAAGGCTAAGAAATGATATATAAAATGATCTGCCCGTGTGTGAGGACAATGTGCTCTCTTGTCACTTGGGACATTTAATGTTGATTTGACACCACATGTATATTATTTTACTTAACTCGTTTGTTTATCCTAAATATTTAGAATTGTATATACAACTAATATTTCCATGAAATTCAATGCTTTATATTTATGTACGCAGTTTAAATTAGTCAGTGTGACCATTTTCCACATCAGTAAAAATAATCCACTTGTAATATTTTAATAAAAGCACACCCTGAAAGAAGTCATTCTGCATAATATTCACAATAACTTTCAATTCTCTATTTACTTTTTAAATATTTTATACCCGAGTACATTTGAATGTACAACTTTTTCTTGTAATTTACCATTTTAATCTTGCTACTTTGCTTTAGTTTGGATACACTTCCTGCTTTGCCCCATTACTGTTGGTCACCATACTATTAGCCTTTTAATTGTTCTCAAGTTTCAAATCAAATCAAGTTTTATTTATATAGCACATTTATAAACGATTTTTGGTCGAGCCAAAGTGCTGTACATATAATAAAAATAGCCTACAGTAGAGACACTTTACAGCAAATACAACAGCACAGATTGTTCAGAATATCAGTATGAGAAAAACGACACCCTCTGTCCTTAGACCCTCACATCGTACAAGGAAAAACTTCCAGAGAAAACCCACAGTTTAAAGGGAACATGGGAGAAACCTCAGGGAGAGCAACAGAGGAGGGATCCCTCTCCCAGGACGGAGAGACGTGCAATAGATGCCGTGTGTAAATCAAAGAGATAATACATTTTACAGCATATGGACCGAATGTCAGGAAATGCATGTGTCTGTAATAAGAAGATGAATCCACGAGGATGTCAGCTACAATCCTGTGGAAGCCATCAGGGAAGCAGCATGGCGAGACCCAAGGCAGGACCGCAGAGACAGGTTCAGCCACGACCCGAAGTCCACGACTTAATCCAGAACTCAGGATAGAGGATCCAAGACACAGGACTACAGCAAGAGGATCAGCCTCGACTCCGGATCCCGGCGTAGATATAGATACAAAACAAGACAAAAGATTTGGCTGGGTTAATCGGAACAAGAGAATACACAGACACAGACAGAGAGGGAAAAGGTCATTGGATCAAAGTTATCCTTGATAACCCTCTAGAAAGATCTCATGAACTTCCCCACTCAATCTATCAAGACCCGAGCAGTTCTATTAGATATAGGATAAGAAACAGAGATAGGGAGCACAACAACCTATCTCTTCGTCAGATGCACTCCCCCGCTTATCTAAGCGACTAATGTTGCAAATAATTCCAATACATTTTGCCAAAGAGCTGAAATAAAGTGCCCGTTCTGTGAAAATGTTTCTGAAGCCTTTAATTCGATGTGTGTGTGTATATGTATGTTGATGTTGAGTAAATTACATCCATTGTTGATTACTTTTATAACATCAACTCATGAGACATAGCTAGTTTTGAAATACAAGCTAAATAATGTCTTTATACCCTGTCCTCTTAGACTGCACTAGACACTTATATATTTTTATAAAACGTATTAACCCTTCTCTTGCGTTTCAGGTCAAAAGTGACCGAGTGACTTTGTTTTTGATCATCAATATTGTGTTTTTCATCCAATTGCCTCAAGACCTTATGTTATCCTCCACACTAGGCCTCTGAACATATAATTGATGATCACCACTTGCATTGATTTTTTAGGGATTTATTCAACAGTGAAACACCCCTGATGTTTTCAGTCCCTTTCTTCTTTGTACATCTCTTAGTTAACAGAAGCCCCTGACAACATTACATTTGTTTATCCTTCACTCAACATACATTTACTGTGTGTTTCTATTTCAAAGGGCCCATCTCTGAAGTGCAAACCAGCTTAGGTTATACATACTATGTTGTAACGGTCCATGTTGTATACCTGGCCCTTTAAATATGAAGATAAAATATAAGTAATACATGTCTTAATGTTAATATGGATAAAATCAATCAATGTTTATTTATATAGCCCAATATCACAAATATTACATTTGTCTCAGTGGTCTTCACAGTGTGTACAGAATATCAGTATGACGAAGGAAAAACTTCCAGAGAAAACCCCACAGTTTCAAAGGCATTCATATACAGATTTAATCAGCACAACATATTACTGAACGTTCGTTCGCATGCTGATTTGATACAAATCATCCCAAGCAGACACACCTTAAAATCTGCCCGGAAGCTGACTCTCAGGAGTCTCCACATCACCTGTTTCAATTAATGCCCAATTAAAAATGTTCGCATTGATTATAACTAACAACATGTATTTACAACGCAGTAACCATGATAAACAAACGCTCATTGTCGTAATGGAAACATGGCCCTGTCAGGTCCTGTAACTTTACCTCTAAGGTGTTTGCTCTGTGGGAGGCACAGGTGTGGCCGTGTCGGCACAGGTGTGGCCGTGTCGACACCTTTAGGAAGTGACTCATCCATGCCAAAGGTGCGAAAGTCAACTTTAGGATTGTCAAAATGTTTAAAAAGAAATAATTATGCCTTCTTCATCATCTTATATGTATGCGCTTCATATTTACATTGTGATATATGCACCTAAAAAGTACCGTAACAAATCTTTCCCAACATTTAAAAAAAAAAGTCCTTCTGAAAATGAAAGGTCCAGAGTGGTGGGAAGTTGAAACAAGTGTAAAGAAGGTGCTCTTGGTTTTTGGAAATAATAAAAAAAATAACTCTAATTCTCTTGTAGTTTGTGACCATCATGAATCAGTGCAGCTGTACTTTAATTTGACTTAGTGTATATGATTTTAAATGATTGTATTTCTATCTATAATGTCTGTTTGCAAGCAGAGTTGATGATTAAGGGCCAGAAAGAGTTTTTTCCCATACAAAATATGCTTTCTGTGAAACCACATTCAGGCAGGTCTAGACAGATTTTGAATCACTCTGTGTGATTCATTAATGAACCAGATTCTGCTGGTTTCTTTTATTTTGTGTGAGGATCAGCAAGTCTGGAAAACTGGGAATGGGAATTGACCATTTTTGACTTCATGGACAGAAGCAGTGTTTTGGTAAAAATATTCTCAATTTTAGAGAAAATGAACTCTGTATAACTTGTCTTTATTGTCCTGAGTGTTATTAAAGGTTGTAGAAGGACATTGTATAGTGTACTTGTACTGTAAAGGGAATTTATTTCTATACTTTCAATGCAAGGTGCCAGTAAGGGAAACAAAGTAATTATCCCAAGATTTACGTGACTGCACGATTGAAGAGGTTTCGACAATGTTTCATGATATATCAACTTTTTTCAAATTAACCACAGCATTAAATACAGTAAAACATCGTATTCATCTTTCCTACGACGTGTTAGGATGTTGATTAGGTTGTGTAATATTACACTTATAAAGAGAGAGAACTCACTGCTCCATAGGGTGTAAAGTGTCTCCTTTTTCTATAACCCACAACAATTTGCACAACAGCTACTTTGCACAATTATAATGTATATATAATCCAATATCTGTCTGTGTAGTATATTTCTATCCCTGCAGCTAAGTGAGACTGTACTGTATATTGCGGAGTACTAAAATTATTCAATATTTGCATTGTGTATTATTTAGATAGTCTAGTAGTGATAAATGTCCTTTTTATTGTGAATGTCTACGCTAATGTTATTTTTTATATACTTGCCACTAATGTTCATTTGTATTATTATATCTTTAAAACAAATTTTACTTAAATATTTTTGACTAATAATTTGGGTTGAATAAACTATCTATATCTATCCATCTATCTATCCATCTATCTATCTATCTATCTATCTATCTATCTATCTATCTATCTATCTATCTATCTATCTATCTATCTATCTATCTATCTATCTATCTATCTATCTATCTATCTATCTATCTATCTATCTATCTATCTATCTATCTATCTATCTATCTATATATCTATCTATCTATCTATCTATCTTGTGAGAGTATTCCAGTGCCTATTTAGAGGCTATTTTTATATTTGACCCATGAGACATTTTATTACAGGTGAGGCGGGTTTCTCCCCTCAGAAGTGGGCGTCCCGTTCCAATTTGGGCCAATTAGATTCCTCGTCAGCGCCCATATAGTGCAGTGTGCAGCCACCAACCTTAACACACTTCCCGCTGTAGCACCGCCAGTCACACACCAAACACGCACCAAACACACACCGGCTGCTGCTTGCTGCTGGGCGGAGGACAGCCTTATCTCCTCCACCCTCATTCTATTACTTCACTCTGCTGGCGCCTGGTGCGGAGACATGGAGCCGGGATACAGAGCGAGAGAGCCGGATATGAGGCTCCGAGAGCGGGCAGCCATAGGTAGGTGAGAGGGTAGAGGAAGCACGGAGAAACAGGCCTGCTTCTGTTTTATTTTTCAAGTTGAAGTGTCGTTCTCTTTTTAGATTTGCTTTTTACTAGCGACTCCCCACTTTTAAATGGTGTTTTATTCTCTATTATTTATTTATTTTATATTGTTTTATTTATTTCTAAGGTTTTGACTTATTCATTTTACCATTGTTTTATTAGCGACATTCCCCTTTTTTGAAGTTGGTCTTTCAAACATTTGAACTTTTTATTCCTATGAATTATTTATTTTATTATCTTATTGTAATCTTTTTTTTTTATTGTTTTATTTATTGAATCGATTTTTTTTTTTTACATGTTATCGTATTTATTGGTTTTGTATTCCTTTATTTGACCAAGAGGGATCATATATTTATTTGATTGTGTTTTATTTTGTATTATCATACCTTTTACCTGTTTCTCTTCAAGTGTTAAACTGTTACATCATGTTGTTATGTACTAAAAGGTTTTAAAGTCTGGCCTGATGTAAAAATCTTGCATGAAAAGTGCTTTACAAATACAGATTAATATCATTATTAACTTAAACATCCTATTTCTGAGATATAAAACAGCATGTTTGTGTAGTTTGTGAAGGTTACATGTTTAATTACGCACACACCTGTCCGCGTGCAGCTCGTTGTTTTACAAACATGTCTGCATGTAATTATGTGTTGGTGTGTCATGTGCTCCTGAATGGACTGTTCCAACCACCTGTGTGAGCCTAACCTGGGTCCAGGAAGGAAGGCAAGATGTTGGCATAGCTGATGAAGTTAAAACCCTGCTATGCCACCACATTGCCATCTTTCTCCCCCCTCTGCAGCAAAAAAACAAACAGGATTTGAACCTGTTCACAAAAAGAACTCTTCCAGAAACTCGGTTATTTCCTGTCTTTGTAGTGATTTTATTGTGCCTTAAATCATGAGTATTTTGAATCTTGTGAATGCATGACAAATGTAATTGACTAATGAAAGGCTAAGAAATGATATATAAAATGATCTGCCTGTGTGTGAGGACAATGTGCTCTCTCGTCACTTCGGACATTTAATGTTGATTTTACACCACATGTATATTCTTTTACTTAACTCGTTTGTTTATACTAAATATTTAGAATTGTGTATATACGACTAATATTTCCATAAAATGCAATGCTTTATATTTATGTACGCAGTTAAGATTATTAAAATCTTGGTCAGTGTGACCATTTTCCACATCAGTAAAAATAATCCACTTCAGCACACCCTGAAATAAGTAATTCTGCATAATATTCACAATAACTTTCAATTCTCTATTTACTTTAGAGTAAATTTGAATGTAGAACTTTTTTCTTGTAATTTACCATTTTAATCTTGCTACTTTGCTTTAGTTTGGATACACTTCCTGCTTTGCCCCATTACTGTTGGTCACCATACTATTAGCCTTTTAATTGTTCTCCTAATGTTGCAAATAATTCCAATACATTTTGCCAAAGAGCTGAAATAAAGTTGTGTTTGTGGCTAGTTTTGAAATACAAGCTAAATAATGTCTTTATACCCTGTCCTCTTATACTGCACTAGACACTTATATATTTTTATTAAACAATTTTTTTGTGGGGGGGGATTTCTGCATTGACTTCAAATAAAATTCGAATTCATAAGCTAAACAATTTGAAATAAAAAGGTATTCTTTCTTTGCAGGAATATCATTTTTACATTAAAACGTTTATATTAAAAGCTGTAATATTTTGTTGTCTATTTTCTAATGATTGAATAAAAAATATGACACAATTTGTTGTTTGCAGTCAAGAAAACACTTCAAGTGTTGTGTCACAGTTGCAAAATGACCTATTAAATCTTAAGGCTTTTTTCTTTTACATGAATAACTCACTCGTGGTGTTATAAATTATATAATTATACGCATAAATGAATGGCAGGAATAATAAAGAGTGCTTGAGTAAGGTGGAAGTGGAGCAGGCTGATGTGACCGCAGTAGTTACCTTCCTCCAGCAGGGGGCGGCAGTGCAACACTCTGGATGTTCGCTGCACTTTCTTTAATAAACACGAAGAAGCTGCTTCCTCCTGCTGTATGCTCATGCCTGTAGTTGGGAGGCTGGTTTGAAAGCTGTCAGGTAAGAAGATATCTTTTTTATTTATTGATAATAATAAACGGTCAATTACTAACTTATCCCTGTTAAGCTGCACGCTCTTGTTCCTCATGTGAAAACATTAGCTTAGCCGAGTTGCTTGCAGCTATGCTAAGAGGTAAACAACTGGAGGTAGCTTGCAATCAGAATTGTAGACATGCTAACTTTAGCAATAATTTAAAAAATCACAACTTTTATATTTTTTTAACAACGGTATAAGACCGCGTTTCCTGTTTGAATATGCTTCTACTCGAGATTAAACATTGGCTGAATGAGACACTAAACCTGTCTTAATAGGAAAGATAAACCTGTACCCTTACCATGCATCTAATACTTTATTTCCCCAGGCCTCACTGACAGTAAACATCTCATTTATAGTAGGCTTACAATGATCAGATGTAAAAGCAGAATTGTGTTTAATTATTTCCCCACAGCCTTGCAGCTTTAAAGAAAACTTAAATGTGTATGTTTTTCTCAATTGTGTTGTTCATAAGCTGCAATTATGCATTAATTTGACAAACCTTAAATACATATAATACTGCTTCACCTAAAGTCAGGATCATACACACCCTCAAACTGTTGGGGATTATTTTACACAGTAAAGCCACATGTTTATATCCATTGTGATCCTCTGAACAAATAGTCTGATCACTATTTGTTTCTATGCAAAAAAAGAACAACTTGGGTTTGAGAACCTGTGTACAATTTCCTTTGTTTTCTGACTTTTATAGACCAAGAATTGCTCTAAATTTTAAACATAGTATGCAGATGAACCAATTAAAAACAATATTGTCATTAAAATGTCCAAGGAGTTGTCTTTAAACGTGTTCTTTAGGTTCAGACAAGTCTGTTCCCTGATTTCTCTTTTCATTGTTGATACTTTTGGTACTACAATGTCTTAATACTTATAGACCAACAGTATTTCAATATGATATAAAAGTAAGAAGCTAAATACCTGCTTATTTTGAAAACATTAGACCAAAAGTGGATACAATTAGAGTTGAGATTTTATTTCTCATTTTCCACTGAACTGAAATATCAAGCACAATTAAATTCATATATTGAAATGATGTGCCTTGGAGTGATCTCAACATATTTGTTTTCCAGAGATGAACAGTGAGAATTTCAGCCTGAGTGAGAAGATCGTGTCGACCTCTTACGTTCGACAGGGCAGTCAGGCGCGCCGCAGCCATGAGCAGCTGATCAGACTCTTGCTGGAGCAGGTACCGTCCTCAGCTTCATGTTGTTCATGTTAAGGTCTCTGCAGATTCATCAGCTTCTCTCATTGTGTGTCACAGGGAAAGTGTCCAGAGGAGGGATGGAGTGAGAGCACCGTGGAGCTCTTCCTCAGCGAGCTGGCTGTGATGGACAGTAATAACTTCCTGGGAAACTGCGGGGTCGGAGAGAGGGAGGGCCGCGTGGCCTCCAGCCTCGTGGCCAGGAGACACTACAGGTTCAAGTTTGACCTTTTATAACACACATCTGTATAATGTTGTTGTGTCCAATGCGAAAATACACGTATTTTTACAAGATTGAATTAGGTCTCTAAATTTGTATAGCTCATTTTATGCCACACAACATTTGATCCCAGCAATATAGCTTTGTGAGGAAGATATTGATGTGACTTAATACAATTTGGTCGTTATCAGGGTTCTCTTTATTTTTATAAAAATAGCAAAGTCATTGAATTAATTGATCTCAAATTAGGTCCCGATTCGTATTAAATTGTCTTAAAAGAATCCCTTTTTTAAAAGTCTTTTAGTTGCTCAGTTATGGGAAGTACGATTTTATGATGTTTTCTTTCGGTCATTGCCTTCTAAAATCTAAAAAAAATGCGGACAGGTATTTACAGGCAGTTGAATTTTTTTAGGGAATTAACACAGTCAACATCTGTTTAAAATAAATATATAACGTTATGCCGATCTGGATAAAGTTGCCTGTAAAATTGTTGGGAATACAAAAGAAAGTGTTGAATTTAGCTTCCTTCATGCTGTGGGAAACCTACATAAGAGTATGTGATGAGGCTCCTGATTAGTTATTTAAGAGTTTCAACCAAATAAGGCTGTATATTTAAGTGTTAAAAACATCTTAACTGTGCCTAGCCAACAATAACACTGTAAACGTACTCATGTATAATAATAATAATAATTAATTCCTTACATTTATTATAGCGCTTTTCCAGATGCTCAAAGCGCTTTACAAATACACATTACACGTATCATACATGCAATGGTCATGTACTGTGGACAATACCCACAGGAGCAAACATGATAAGTTCACATTGCCCATACTAATAACGCTTGGGCTCTACTCAATATAGTACTAAAAATGATCAGAAGTAATAAAACTCTTCTCTGGTGTCCGGTGAATGTTGAACGCAACGTTTGTTTTGAAGGTTGATCCATGGCATCGGTCGGTCAGGTGACATCGCTGCCGTCCAGCCCAAAGCTGCAGGGTCCAGTCTGCTCAACAAGCTCACCAACTCCGTGGTGTTGGACATCTTAAAGCTCTCAGGTGTGTATTTATTATGAAAACTACTTTGCAAGAAAATGGAATATTTGTATCAAGGAATGTGTTTTATTGTTGTTGTGTTGACGCCACTGAAAGATGTGCTTAGACTGGGAAAAAACAGATGAAGTCATGCCCTTGCATTAATGTATTGGATGTTTATTATGCTTTGTGGGTGTGACCTCTTTTGCTATGTCATCACCATTCATGTATTTACAACAAAAGAAAAAATACTAAAATTGTTTACTAGAGCACAAAGTTGTTCATATAAAAAACCTCTTGATCAAAATACAAAAATAAAATGTGCCTTTGCGTTAGGATTCAGTTTACATTACAAAAAAAATCCATTTGTATAACCATGCGTTGCTCCTCAGGTGTCCGGAGTGTGGCCAGCTGCTTTGTAGTTCCCTTGGCAACAGGAATGAGCTTGACTCTGTGCTTCCTGACCCTTCGCCACCGAAGACCCAAAGCTCGCTACATCATTTGGCCTCGCATCGACCAGAAGTCCTGTTTCAAAGCCATGATCACAGCAGGTGAACATCCCATCAGTCACCCTCACTTCCTGCTCACACAGACAGAAATATGGCAGCAGATGGCCCTTTCTTGGGGGAATATATCTGAAATGGTGCCATGTGAAGCATATTTGTTGAAGTATGTGATGGCAGACACAATCTTTGCACTTTCTGTTGGCATTTTCTCCCCGATGCTAGTTAGACATGTGCTCCTTCCTCATAACGTCATCCCACCGGAGGGCTTCCTCCGCCTCCTGCTCTTACTTCCTTGTTTCCTCAGGATTTGAGCCGGTGGTGGTGGAGAACGTTCTGGAGGGCGATGAGCTGCGGACAGACCTGGAAGCAGTTGAGCGCAAGATCGAGGAGCTCGGAGCCGAGAACATCCTGTGTGTTCATTCAACTACTTCCTGCTTTGCCCCGCGGGTCCCCGACAGGTGGATAATGTTCCTTCAACGCCTTTCACCTACTCCACACTGAAGACCTTAGCCTAGATTTGCCGCTTGCTGACAGTTTTTGGATTGCAGCCAATGAGAGCGCGACAGAATCGGGGGTAACCTTGGGAAGGGGAAGCCTGGTACAACAGGAAGTACTAAGAAGTGATTCATTTTTAACACTCGTATAATGTGAATAGTATCCTATGTTTACGTTTAGTTGGTCTAATATAGTGTATACCAACTTATCTACATGTTTATATTGTTAAATTTGATTGAGACACCCTATAAATATTTGTGTCACTCTTGATATGTTTTACTCTAATGTTAATGTATATTTTCTAATTAATTTTATTTTTAATTAACGCTCAAGCCCTTGTTTACGCTGCTATGACAAATGAACTAGCCAAATTCGGATCAAAAGTAAATGAATTCTGATGATTGTTTATAATCTTGTCCTATAGGCTGGAGGAGCTGTCCATTCTGTGTGCCAAACAGAACATTCCCCACATTGTGAACAATGCATACGGAGTGCAATCGTCTAAATGCATGCACCTCATCCAACAGGTGGGTTCCACACACTATATCGCTTGTAATTGGCCCTCATGCACTTGACCCGTTGGTGACAGTTTGGTGTTGGCTGTCTGTCGTCAGGGGGCTCGTGTCGGAAGAATTGACGCCTTTGTGCAGAGCTTGGACAAGAACTTCATGGTTCCAGTAGGTGGCGCCATCATCGCAGGCTTCGACGAGTCCTTCGTACAGGAGATCAGCCAGATGTACCCAGGTGAGTCAAGTGGGATTATTTTTTTTCACGATTTATTTATTGCAAAACGTTTCCTCTTAATGATCAGCACAATGACATCTATTACAATTGAGAGGAATGAGGGATATGAACCCAGTTATTGGGAGGGAATTTATTTTGAATCAGAACAAAAACATTCTCTGACATAATGAGCTCACAGAAACAAAAACAAATATTATAATCAGACATTTTAAAATATTTTTTGTATTTCTATACCCAACTGCTTTTCAAATCAGTTTCTTAACGTTTTTATCAATAAATAAATAAATATACTTTTGGATCTTACAATGCTTTTGAGTTATTTTAAATGTTTGATTTGACGACACCGGTAAAAATGTTTTGCAAATAGTATAATATAAATAAGATTTCTGTAGCCTAATTTTTATCTGCAGCTGTGCACACACTGCCTTTAAACATGATGAGTAGGCCTACAAAAGAAAGCTGCACAGCATTTAATTGTGGACTTACAATTTGAATGTCAAATGTATTAATTAAGCTTTAAAGTATTTGGTTTAGCCCTGATATTTTGTCAGGGATTTGAAAAAAACCTCATGTGATGCTTTACCTTTACAGCCACCAATGCTTACTTTGTCCTCGAGGTTAATATGAGGAGTGGATATCTCTACCTATAATCAGTTACTGTATGCACAAAGTCACTTGTCCCCTTTTGTCCAGGTCGGGCGTCCGCCTCTCCTTCCCTGGACGTCCTCATCACCCTCCTCACCCTGGGAGCCAGCGGCTACAAGAAGCTCCTGTCAGAGAGGAAGGTGAGAGCGTGCACACATCAGCTCACAACACCACTTTTATTTAATCATGTCTTTCAGGCGGAGTTTTATATCTGCAGGATGCTTCCATGTTTTTAACTTGTGTATGAGGCGTTGGGAAAGCGAGATTGGAAGGAAATGTCATTATTAATATAAAAAAACAGTCATATTCCAGATGGTGTGATAAAAACAACATGGATTGGTAGGAGGAAAATACTGCGGCAATGTCAGCCTGACTATGTTTCTGTGTGTGCTGTGTCAACATCTCTCCCCGGAAAACTGACGAGAACAGCTTACATAAGTTGTATTGAATTGCAGTGGATCACTCTCTGACTTCCTGGTGTGTGTGTGTGTGTGTGTGTGTGTGTGCGTCTCTTTACCTGCATTCTGACTGAGGAAAGAGACTTTGAACTTGAGCGAGTCAGTGTAAAGGGAGGCGTGTGCTATAGCAGCATGAAATTGATCCAGAAGTTTCAGAAAACATCCCCTGGTGGCTCCCCCATTTAAAGCAGACTTTTCTCACAATGCAGCATCCCCCCTCTTAAAACAGGATTCACTGCAGCACTCTCACACCCCCGAACTGCTCCTCCACAAACTGCACATGTGACTTTATCTGTTTTATGTTGATGCTCAAACCTCAGTAAGACGCAGAAACAAATGACTCAACGGTCATTTTTTTAAGAAAGAGCTGTAGATGATAAATCTTCTTTTCTGTTATGTTTATCAGTAAAGTCCCTTTAAGAAAACAAGTAATCCCAATCTGTTCATGAAACCCAAAGATGACACAACTACAAGATGTCCTACAACCCCCACAATGCCCTCTGCGGGAAAGCGTAGCAGAAATATACATTTAGGAAATACTTCAGGCCTATCGGATGACCCGAAGCCATCAAAGCTTATTGATTTCCCTCGCTCCACATTATTTATAATTAATGTGCAGGACGCGTTTCCATAGTGTCTGCAGAAGTGAGTGATTTCCCCACATCCCCCACAGGGTCACACGCTTTAAATAATTCAGACTTTTCATCTGATAATTTACAGACTCATGTTAGCCGTTAGGGTAGACATTGCAAAGAACCAGCAGATGATGTGTGTTTTTTAGGTAGGATGGGGTTTAGTCAACACACACACACACACACACACACACACACACACACACACACACACACACACAGTTATTGTCTGCAGAGTCGTGGCCGTGCACTCCCTCCTCTGCAGGGGTAAGAAAGTCGTCCATTGTTGCTAGAGAACAAGGGACACTTGGAGACACTTGTGTTTGACTCTTGACAGAAAATATTTTCCTTCTTGGTGCTTTCGAATTAGAATAGTATGAGTCAGCAAAGTACGCAGGAGACACACACACACACACACTGTAGCAGAGAGCAGATGTTTTAATATGCGACGCTTCACTGGGGAAGCCAGCAACAGAAACACTGATTTGTTGTTGTGCAGCTCCTCTTCATGTCCTGGCATAATAACATCTGTGTACTCCACCTTTTATCCATAGCCGCACACACTGCATTGAGAATGAAACACTTCATCATATTCCAAACATGTAGGTGTTAGAATCACTGGATTAAAGCATGTGTTCCTCCTCTCCTGCCTCTCTGGAGACAGGGGGGAGATAAGGGAGGGGACATGGACCAGTCTGCTTGCCGGTAGGTTTTGCTTGATTAGCAATAAAACCGAGGCTGCTGCTGCTAAAATAAGACTGTGGCAGAGTTTTCTATTTATAGCTCTTTTGTATGGCCCCCCCCTCTACTTCTGTGTCTCCATGCCTCTCTCTGTGTACGCATGTCCTGTAGGAGATTTATTTGCTGCTGGCTCAGGAGCTGAAGACTCTCGCCTCTGCACACGGGGAGAGGTTGCTGAACACCCCACATAACCCCATTTCCCTGGGTAAGCTGCATGTACAGGCATGATGTATGCACACTCTATTTAGTCCATACATTTTGGGGTTTTTCAACGGTGAAAGCTTCATTTTCTGAACTTATATTAGGGCTGCAAGAAATGATTGCTCATCATTTGATCTATAAAATGTCAGAAAAATGCCCATCCTAGTTTCTCAAAATCCAAAGGTCTTTGGATGGTCCGTGTCCATTGTCAGATCAGAACTCAAATATATTTTTAAATGTAAACGGAGGAAAGCAGGAGATCTCCATATTTGGGAGGCTGAAAACTGCATTCTTTTACATTATTAGCATGAAAAATGACTATCAATCCAATATCGAAATAGTTGCCAATAGCTTTTTTTTTATTAAAGCATCTGTAACATAAGTACATTCTTTTATTTCATCTGTAGTGTGTAGTTTTTGATATTTTGATGCATTTTCACTCTTTAACATGGCTATGAGTTTCTTGAAAAGCACTCCATAAATCAAATGTATTTTACAGTATAATCATTGTTTGTGTGTTGGGTGTGGCACCTCTCTTCCCCCCCTCCCCCCCAGCCATGTCTCTGGATGGTCTCCAGGCGGAGAGCGACGGGGCGGTGACTCAGCTGGGCTCCATGCTGTTCACCCGGCAAGTGTCAGGAGCCAGGTAAGAACCACAGGCTGTATTTAGGTATGAACACTTTAAAGGGGCCACAATCTGACCTGGAAAGGGGAACATGGGGAGGGGAGTGAAAACAAGAGGGTGTGGAGGTTAGGCAAAAATAGGTGCCTGAGCTGTGCAGCAATCGGCCGGATGGATCTGCTGAATCTCAGGGAACAGCAACCACTTTAGAAGATTACACTGCCCATCCTAATTTCCTGGGATGTTTCCATCACGGAGCGCTGTTGTCTCCACTGGAGCCTCAGGCACAAACACTGACACCATGTTAGGTTCTGTTCTTTTGTTGCCTCAAATTTTCTCAATTTTCCCCTTCGATGGACAAAGCTTGGGAGCCCATCTAAATATTTAAAATATCCAGAATGAATGATTTATTTGGGTCATTATTTATATACATACATACAGACCAAGGGAAAATATCTGTTATCCTTGAATCTGAGTCGCAAATGAGATGCATTGATATTTCAAATGTATGCTCCAATGACACACTTTAATCTTTATAATGCATTGCAGGATATGATACAAGGGAGCTGGCTTTCAATGTGCAACATATTAAGAGCTCTGTATCATATGAATGCATTTCTTCTCCATAATGGTCTCAGATCTGCTTGCTTACAAATCAAATTCACCAATACTATAAATTCAACACAAATCCTAAAATCACAGCACACCAAAACATCATCAATGGCAAATTCTTGAAAGCACCGCTTCCCAAATGTTGACCGAGTAGTAAAGAATGGAGTTAGCTTACATATATTTTGTTTTCTAATGACTAGTTTACTGTAGCTAATGTTTTTGTTGACTAACAAGTGTACCTCCTTCATTACAAGTGATATTACCACTCTCCAATAAAGTCAAATAACTTGATTTAAAATAAGTATTTGTCCGTCAAGTGAACAGCTTCAGCTTTAGCCAGGTCGTAGTCATAAAAAAGGATTTCCCGGACATGCTAAATAACATTCATGTTCCACGTTATCCTTCTTTTCCACCCTTGTCTGTAGGGTAATACCGCTGGGCAAGGAGCAGACCATCAGCGGACACATGTTCCGAGGCTTCATGTCTCACTCCGATGCTTACCCGTGTCCGTACCTTAACGCTGCCTCGGCTGTGGGCATCACGCGGGAGGACGTGACCCTGTGCATGAAAAGGCTTGAAAAGTGCCTGAAGACCCTGAAGAAAGAGAAAAATGTGGCGAGAAGTAGCTCCCCCGTACTTCCACCGTGCCAGGAGGACACCACTGGAGAATGACTATAATAAGAAAACTAAGTGAGTTCTTCTAACTGTGGGATCTTCTTCTTCACCCCGTCTGAACGTTGTGTGTTTTGAAAAGGCTGATGGATTATCAATCCAGATATTGTAATGAGGTCAAAGACTGGAGCAACAGCTGGTGTGGAAACTTCCTCCAGGTGTTCATTAAAACAAAAGTGACTCACTGATTAATTCCCTCCTCTGTGAACGCGTCATAATTAGTAGATATTTTAAGGACGCTAAATGCATACACATGCTTCTCTGGAGCATGTGGTTGTTCGTGAACACTTGCATTTTCTGTTTATGTTGAAAAAACCTCATTTCTAATGGCATTTGGACTCAAAATAGCTTAAGGATGAACAAGGGGCTTTACTTTGTGTCATTTCTCTTAATTAAAACCATCTCAAGCCTCCACAGTGCAATGGAATGTAATTACCCGTGGTTCCTCTCTGCTAATGTTAGCAGACACAGGCATGCTTTATGCGCCTTCTGCTCTTGGAAATGCATTAGGCCTTTCCAACTATTGACATATGAAACAAAATCGCTTGATAATGCAGTATGTTGCAGCATGTCTTCTGCAGTGTGATGTAATGTGATATAAAAACCGTTGAGCCATTATCTCCATTTGAAGCCGGTGAATTTAATCGGCTCTTTTACTTTCAGGCAGCAGAAAACAATATAATGAACAGATAATCGATTTAGTTCAACAAACATGGATCACTGCTGTGTGGAGTAAAGGAAATGTTCACAAACCTGCTATTAAGAATTTAAGATGTGTGTAGGTAAGTACAGTTACATGTGTTGGGACCTTACAAAAGGCTATACACACAGTCATACAAAGATCTAAAATGTACCTTAAATTATTTTAGTTGGTCTAAGAATTAAGGCTATGTTTTGTTTACTATAAATAATCCATAGGGTCTTTGTTATTCATTTACTTTTGCCTGGTGTGAGAACAGAACATGAATTTAGTGTTACTTCTGTAATGTCAATATGTTCATGAAGTTAAAGCAGTCTTTAGTGTTTGCTAGCTTAAGATAAGTTTCAGTTTATCAGAAAAAGGTACGTTTAGATTTTGAGGAAGGTACATATCCAAAGAAAATACATGAACTGTGCAGGATTTCGTTGATATGGAAATCAAACTCAAATTCTTCACTGAGAGGAAAACGTGTCACCTGCATTAGTTGGCAAACATACAGTAAGCTCTCATCTGAAAAGCTTCCTTTAAAAAGCATGTTGTGTTTCCTCTAATAACCCTGATCAGTAGTTCTTGCTGCGTCAGTGCCGGGCCCAGGTGTGCTTTAGATAGCAAAGTACATTCAGCACACGCCGCTTTTTAAACTGTAGTTGTTAATGTAGGTCTGATGATGTGCAGCAGCCCATCAGCCCTGGCAGAGTGGACTGAAGTCAGATAGATGAAGCTGCTGGATCAGCACACTTTCACTGTTCCCAGGCTGTAACCATTAACACAATACAGGGGGGGTGCTCCGGCAGTACTCCTAAAAACACAGAGGAAGCATTATAAAAACAGCTTTTTGTTTTTTGTGGTAGTAAATGTCGTCAGTCAGGATGAAAGAATCCTGAATTGAAGGACTGATCCTGAATCAGTGCATCAGCTGCCTGGCTCTCTGTATGCAGAGCTGTCGTTCAAATGTTGCTCTCCTGATTGTTTTTGTCTTTTCTCTCCCGTCACCAGTTTGCAGGGTTTCCCATCTTTTGCTGAGGTTGCAGGGATGCTGAGGGAGAGAGTCAGACACATTGTTTTGTGCAGGCCAGTTTTTTAAGGAACCCCCCTTCTATTGATCAAGCCTGCTGCAGTGTGTAAATCACTTAGCTGCCACTAAGAGACCTGCACACGGCATCACAGTCTGTTTTTCATGCAAGCCATCTATCAGTGGCAAGCATTGCACGAAGGAAACAGCTGATGTAAAACAATCACGAGAGATCATGAAGAAAACAGGACACATTATGACAACACAAGCAACTATCTTATCATTTTATGTATTAGTGTTTTCTTTAGCTTTTTAAAAAGGCAAAAATGGTTTTCAGCGAATACCAAATGGCTAGACTTTATAGAGGAAATCCAGCATTGGCCTTGGCAGCTTCTGACTTATATATTATGGACTTAGGCCTGTTTTATCTTTAATGATTGCAAATGTTCACACATTTTCACATGAATTTGCTCGACAAAGCCCTTGAAAATTCTCACACAGATGATCAAAACGTGGATTTGTTTGCTTACCTTATCTCAAAAGCCTATAAAATTAATAATTATTAAATAGTATTATTGTTTCTCTTTAGCGTTGCACATGTCTTGTCAGGGATCTGGTATTTTTATTGTAGGCAAACAATAAAAATGTGATGTTTGGGAATTCCTTTCATTTAAATCATTTGTTATTAAATTACATTCATTTTGAGGAGTTTTCTGGAGCTCTATTCAATATTTTTTAATTTTGATAAATACCTTTTTAGATTAGCAGTAAAAATGGGAAGTATTGAGTTTCAGTGTGACTGCAGATTCATATTGTGTTGCAGTCCTTCTTTGTATGGAGGGGGGGGGTACTGTACAGTATGTAAAGTAATAGTAGTAATAATGTCACTGACTGAAATAATTCATAAAGAGTCTTCATATGACGCATTTGATTTTCATATTTGAAATTATGCGAAAATGTGCGCGCGTGATAACCTGACGTCATTTAAAAATGTGTTTTTTAAAGTCTTTCTAAGCCACGCAGTATATATCTGCTCAGCCTCATGATATAAAACTATAATCCCCATGAATGCAACATATATCCCCCAAAAGCCATGTTTGGTGATTGCTAGATGAAGTTCTTCTGCATGTATGGCGCATGGCTGTTTTAACCCACAGTCACCGTACGGGAGCTGAGCCTTAATAAATAATGAGAGTGCACGCGGAGGAGCTGCAGCTGATTTGCTGATGTCAGGCAGTCAGTGCAGCATTTCATGGTGCAGGGTGTAAACGCTCTTCGCGCTCTCAGAAAAACCCCACACATGCAACCCCGGCAAGAAAGATGTTGCCAACTCTCAAGATCTGGACATTATTTTCTGTTTGGCTCTGCTTCCTATCGCAGCCGGCTCATTTAAAGAAGGCTTTCCGATGTCCTTCAACATGCAGCTGCTCCAGGGAGTCCATCATCTGCGTCGGGTCCTCCAATGTCCCCAGGATTAGCCCCAACGACGTCAATTCCCTGTGAGTAGCTCGATGTTTTCATGCGTAAAGCAGAGTATACTAGTTGTCGCTAGCTGTATGATGTTCATCATCTTAATAAGAGCTGCTGTGGAAAAGCAATGCAGTCCTCTATGATGTTGATTTGCTCATCGTTTCTGCTCCTTCCTTACAGGAGCCTCGTTAATGGGACTTTCTCTGAGGTCAAAGAGGCGATGTTTGCTCACATGCCATCCCTCCAGCTACTGTAAGAGCAACATCACACTTCCTCTGTTATAGCATGTTAGGAGTTACCGCGTAGCAAAGGCTCCTTTTAGGGCAGGAACACTGATTGATTGAACAACAAATTGGCCACTTGCAAAACCAATGTGAAGAATTCAACAGTGGTAGAGACCTCAAAGTGTAAAGATGTAATCAGTATTTAGATCCTAAAAGTACTCATACCAGTCAGGGGAAATACCCCCCTACAAAAGTCAGTTTATCAGCCAAGTATCATGAGTAAAACTACTCACAATGCTGAAAATGTTAAGAATTGTTTGTGTTTTAAGGATATGTAATTGCATATGTTTTACGTCAAATCTTAAAAAACTAATGCTTTTTGATAAATGCAGGGTAGTAAAAAGTACAATATTTCCCTTTGAAATAGTAGCCTAAAGCAGCATTAAATGGAAATGGTCTAAGTCTATTCTGAAATACATTTCTTGAGTACATTTACTTCGTTAATTTCATTCACCACTTGCTGCAATACACATACAAAACTCTTTATAAACAGCAACAATACGCTATAATATTGGCTTTCATTGATCAAGTGTGTGGTACTTTTGAAGAAAATATATGTCCAGTAGCTGACTTCCTGATGTGCATGGTTTTAATACGGACACAGTAAAGCATTAAGTGTCTTAGAGCAATTAGCAGGAAGGATTTAAAAGGTTTGGACACCTTTAAAGCTCTCAGTGCAGTCACATGTCGTATGATGGAGGCCATCTGTCTTCAGTTACTCCACTAGTGACGACTGATTCAGAAACATAGGTGTGGCAGATGTAGAGTGTTTAAACAAAGCCATAACACACATGATGATTAACAGCCAGATTGATGTTGTGATGAGTGCAGCGCGTTTGCTATTTTATTTCAAGACACTACAGGTATACGGAACCATCTCAACTAATAGATCTAACATTAAACTCTTGTGGTTATTTATTGCATTTCATTTAGTCTTTTAAAAACAATTGTTGTATTTATATTTGCAAATGAGGCATCATGGTCTGACTGAATCAAAGTTAGCAAAATAAACTTCTAAATCTATTTTCTTTGCACTAGAGCCTGAAAGATGACATTTAATTAAAGTCCATAATCCTATCTGCATAACAACAACAACACTGATTTTGCGTGTATGGTCTCACCTTTAAAATGGACTATTTGCACAAGGGGATTGTCTTTTTGGTGAGTTAAATAGGAGTTTAATTCAGAACAAAATGTTGGTTTGCTCCTGTGTCTGATGGAGGATGCAGTTGATTTGGATAGATGTTTTTTCTTGAATTGTTTTACTCTTACCACATTTGATTTGACATGTGTTGGAATGAGGCTGATTATGCTGTATTTTGATCACTGAAAGAAAAATCGTAGAAATATCCTCTATATAAAACAGTGCTTCTTGTTGACAGACAGCATCTTCTAAAGTGTTTATTATTCATCAGGCTTTTGAATTCCAATTCTCTCACAACTGTACGGGACGATGCGTTCTCCGGCCTCTCACATCTGGAGTATCTGTAAGTTATTTCAGTGTTTATTATCAGTGTAATAGCTTAACATATTGCCTACACAACATGAGTGTTATACTTAATTACTTAATGTAGCTGTAAGTTAGGTTAAAATGGCACATTGTGATCTTAAACATGAGGTTTTCTGGGTGGAAGTTGCTCTTTCTGAGAGTAAATGAGGCCCTCTAGTGGTTTCATTTAATTTGGTTTAAAGAATATTCTTCACTTATTTGCCCACAACCAACATTTTTAGACATATTTTCAGCAAATATAATATATTTTGTTTAAAACTGTACACATTTTACCAGTATTTCCTACATCCATTCACAGAGACATGTGCTGAGTGTGTTACCATACCATAAGCTTATTACTAACATGTGTTGTTGTTGTTGTCCTCAGGTTCATTGAGAGTAATAAGATGGAGACTGCATCCAAATATTCCTTCAGAGGACTCAGGGACTTAACACACTTGTATGTTCCAACCTTTAAAATCATTCCCATACATTGTTAAGACATCTCATCTGTAATATTTATTCGCTAAAGTCATTTTTTAATATGAAGCCATTGTGAACCATTGTAGGTGATGCTTAATAATTCCCATTTGATTCAGAATAAGGGTAACAGCATTGAACATTAATATTGAGTATATATCAAGAATATTAGTTTTTTCTTCAGTGTTTCCAGTCATTAAAGTGTTACTTGTACCTTAAGTCTATAAATATGATGCATGTTTTTCCATTTTCTGACATTGGAGTTATGATTTTCTGTATTGATCAATGGCTGTATTTTCCAGGTCTTTGGCAAACAACAACATTAAAGCATTACCTCGGGACGTTTTCAACGACTTGGACTCACTGATAGAGCTGTGAGTTTCATAATCCGTTTAAAAAATGAATCCCGGGTCCCATGCATTTCTTCTAATGTATGTTTTAGCTACTTTGTTCGTCTGCAATGAAACCGAGTACCTCTCTTCTGC